ATGGTGAAGGGTCTATCCTACATAGATCATCCGAATGAGTTATGTAAAAAGTGTATTCTTGGCAAGCATCACAGATTAAGCTTCTCAAAAGAAGTCAAGTGGAAAGCATCACGACTCTTGGAGCTTGTGCACACCGATGTTTGTGGTCCTTTGAAGCCTATGTCAAATGGTAAGAATCGTTACTTTCTTATTTTTATTGATGACTATAGCTGGAAGACTTGGGCGTATTTTTGAAGAAGGAAGTCCGAAGTGTTTGAAGTTTTTAAGGAGTTCAAGAATCTTATTGAGAAGCAAAGTGACTATTTTATCAAGAGGTTGAGATCCAATCAAGGTGGTGAATATAGTTCCTATTTATTTGCAGATTATTGCAATGAGCATGGAATTGTGCATCAATTCATTCCAAGCTACACATCTTAGTTGAATGGAGTTGCGGAAAGAAAAAATAGGACTATTCTTGATATGGCTAGAAACATGTTGAAAGGAAAGAGATTGCCTAGAGAATTTTGGGTTGAAGCCATAGCATGTGCAGTGTACTTATTGAATCGATGTCCAATCAAAAGTATTCGTTTCAAGACCCAGAGGAAACTTGGTGTTCATTCAAGCCTAGTGTAGCCCATCTTAGAGTTTTTGGATGAATTGCTTATGTGAAGATTTCCGAAACAAGGAGGGCAAAACTTGATGATAAAGGTGAAACGTGCATTTTTATTGGATATTTGTGATAGAACAATGGGGTACAAGTTATACAACCCCATTACCAAGAAAGTAATCATGACTAGAGATGTAATCTTTGAAGAGGAAGACATGTGGGATTGAAAGAAAAAATTTCACCACCGAAGTGGAACTTATGCTTGAAGAAGAAGAGTCTGAAGAACCGAGGAAAGTCCAAAGAGAGCCACAGACACCTCCACATAGATCCCCATCACTTTCTACAAGTGAATCATCATCATCATCTTCATCATCAGATTCAAGTTCAAGTGAAAGACCAAGAAAAATGAGAGGTTTGCAAGAGATTTATGAATCTACGGAAGATATTGACGATAACTTGAATTTGTTTTGTTTGTTCATGGATTGTGATCCTTTATGTTTTGAAGAAGCGGTTCAAGAAGAGAAATGTAGAATAACAATGAATGAAGAAATGAAGGCAATTGAAAAGAATGATACATGGGCACTAGTTTGTCTTCGCCAAGGTCATAAAGCAATTGGTGTGAAGTGGGTATATAAAACCAAGAAGGATGCAAATGGTGAAGTCCAAAAATACAAGGTGAGGTTGGTTGCTAAAGGCTACAAGCAAAGGGCCGGAATTGATTATGGTGAGGTATTTGCTCCCGTTGCTCATTTGGAAACAATTAGGTTGATGATTTCTTTGGCGGCACAAAACAAGTGGAAGATTTACCAACTTGATGTGAAATCAGAATTTTTGAATGGATTTCTTGAGGAGGAGATTTATGTTGAACAACCTTTGGGGTATGTGAAAAAGAGATATGAAGATAAAGTGTACAAGTTGAGAAGAGCTCTATATGGATTAAAGCAAGCACCAAGCGCATGAAATGCTAGAATTGACAAATACTTTCGTGAGAATGATTTTCAAAAGCGTCCTTATGAGCATGCATTATACATGAAGATGGATGGCAGTGGAAGTGTGCTATTTGTTTGTCTTTATGTTGATGACTTGATCTTCACCGACAATGATCCAATGATGTTTGACGGATTCAAGAGAAGTATGATTAAGGAGTTTGAAATGACTGATATTGGCTTAATGTCTCATTTCCTTGGCATTGAGGTTAAACAAAGTAAAGATGAAATTTTTATTTCTTAAAGTAGTTATGCAAAGGAAATACTCAAGAAGTTCAAGATAGATTATTGCAACCCGGTGAACACACCCGTAGAAATTAGATTGGAATTGAGGAAGAGCATTAGTGGTGGAAATGTTGATCCAACTTACTTTAAAAGTTTAGCTGGAAGTCTTTGGTACCTTACCTGCACAAGGCCGGACATTCTTTCTGGAGTCGGCTTGATTAGTAGATACATGGAAACACCGGATCAAACTCAACTTAGTGCGGCGAAGAGGATTTTACGTTATATTAAAGGTAAACTTAATGATGGTTTGTTTTATTCTTACACTGATGATTTTAGACTTGTTGGATATTCGGATAGTGATTGGGGACGAGATTTGGATGAAAGAAAAAGTACCTTGGGTTATTGTTTTTTCATGGGAGATACGACTTTTACTTGGTCATCCAAGAAGCAAGCAGTTGTTATTTTGTCCACGTGTGAAGCGGAGTATGTGACTGCAAATTCAACGGTGTGTCATGCTATTTGGTTGAGGAACTTGTTGAATTATTTGGGATTTTCTCAAGAAATTCCCACGGAGATCCTTGTTGATAATAGATTGGCGATGGCGTTGGTGAAGAACCCGGTGTTCCATGAGAGGAGTAAACACATTGATACGCGCTACCATTTTATTAGAAAGCATGTGAAGAATGGAGAAGTGAAGTTGGTGCATTGCAAGACTCAAGATCAAGTTGCCGATATTTTTACGAAGCCATTAAAGCATCATGTGTTTGGAAGATTGAAATTGATGCTAGGCATGAGAACCTAAGGAATTGAGTTTAAGGGGGGATGTTAGTTTTTATAAACTGAATTCTTTAAAGGGTAGGTTTTGTATTTATGATGTAATATTGAAAAAATCGTGTTAGATAGTCACTAGCAGTGTCCAGAATATTTTGGGAGGTCTGTTCATGTCTTTGGGAGGAGTGTTCATGTACTACTATGTGGAAAAATTCAAGAGACAAAATCTGGTTTAATGCTTGAAGGCTGTTGGCCATTGAATGGGCAAATTCAAGGATTTTTGACTGAAAAACAGAGGTACAAAAGGGGCTGGACTGTTGCTACCAAAATAGAGTTTTTTGTGTATAAAAAATAGAGAAAGAGAGAGAGTAAAAAACTGTGTATTACTGGGCAGGAAAGGGGCTGGAAAGCAAGAAGGAAAACATAGTTTTTTGACCGTTAAACAGAGCCATAGCAGACTGTTTTGACGTGAGGAGCTGCAGCTCCATTTCTGGTAATTGTTTTGTGTGTATTCTTTATGAAAAAATCAGATTGGTCTACCTCTTTGTATTTCTTGATATTGTGATCATTCTTGATGAAATATAAATGAGTTTATTGAGTAAAATTGGTGTAGTAGTGTAGCAAATTTTTGTCCTCTGTTTACTTGTTTTTGCGTTACTTTGGTGATCTATTTGCTTCCAGTACCCAACAAATTATACCTTTAAAGATCAAAATTTTCAATTTGTACATTTAAGGATAAAAATTTGTGTCAATATGTACTTAAAACTAAAAGCCTTCAATTTGCCGTCTAAAACTAAATGAATAAATTATATGTAGATCTCCTCATACTTGTCACTTAATTATTTGAACCCTCTCATATTTAAAATATTACTCCTACACCTCTTGACATTTGTGCACGTGTAACTCATGACCCACTATCGTTGATATCTATTAATATAACCGTTAAGAAATATGATTTCATCTTAATAAAAAATTATAATTTTCATACTATCCTTTATTTTGTGGGTCCGTTATACTTTAAAGTTCAAAATCAAGTTTACTATTTGAACACCCAATATAATGTCGATATTTATATAATGTTCTTTATATCCAATACAATGCATCACTTAAACAGAATTATTTGGATGCCATATTGGGGGAACATTTTTAGTCTTATTTAGATTCTAAAGAGATGAAGATGTAATATTTCAAATGTGAAGGGTTTAGGTGATTAAGTGACAAGCATGAGAGGATATAGATGTAATTTATCCATTTAATTTTAGACGGAAAATTGACGACTGTGAGTTTGATGTATGCATTGGTACATATTTATATTTTTGACGGTGTAAATTAAGATTTTTGATTTTTGAGGGTACCAATTGAAATTTGAACAAATTTTCGGGGTGCAATTTGAGATTTACCCGAGTTCTAAAAGATTTTTCAGGGTTAAGGAATTGTGTTGGAGCACAAAGCATTTGATGTGTCTGGCAACTGGACAAGATTCAATAATGCAGTTCTTGTAATTTTTTGGGAAGAAACACCCACTTGTCTGTACAAGTTCATAGAGGAATTTGCATCAAATTAAACTTTGATGGAAGTAGATGGGGACACAATGGACCCTACCTGGTTTCAAGAGTGGTTGGAGAGAATGGCAGCAAGATGTGAGTTTAAGTTTACTGTATTGCCGCCCTTGCCGTTTTATCCAGTGGACTGGTCTAGGATTTCAATCAAAAAAGGTGGTGGCCAAGCTGCTTCAACTAAAGAAAAGAGCGGGGTGGGGGGCTATGGGGTGCACCTATGGCAGATTCAGAATTGAAGAAGGAAGCATGCCAGATCAATATTTGAGCTTTGTATCATCTACAAATCCCATATATAATTCTTGAAGAAACCCCTTGGCCTCCTAGACAAGGCTTAAGGAGGATTTGCGATCATCTCTATTACACATTTTCTCAATTTTTTTTGAATGATAAATTATTTATCATGAATTCAAATTGAACTCACTATAGGCAGATCGCTAACTCATACATAGTGGGCAATTTATCATTGACAAAAGTTTAATGAAGAGAAGATGTGGATCCGACTATGTGGGTTTGCTTCTGTGAAGTAGCAGACTCCCTAAATACTTAGGGTCACCTTATTCACCTTCAAAGGAATTTACCATTGCTTGAATAAACTCATGACTCAAGGATTTAGGAATTTTCATCTATTCCATGATTCACTCAATTTATTTTTTCTGCTTTTAGGCCCCCCAACTTCCAAACTTCAAATATATAATAAGATAGTTTTCTACACAAAAGAAATTGCCATTGATATTCACATATTGTCTATGTATGTACCTGTGGCATTTGTTTAAATACAAATGGTCGTCTCAGAGATTGAGTTTCTCGCAAATGGATTCTTAAAAGGTCAGATATATGCAGTCATATGGAGAATTTGATTCCGCAACTAAAACATCAAAACTTTCTCCCGCATATCATAATCCTCAATCTTTTGATCAACCTAAACCTGAATGTAAACCCTCCACATCTCCCTACCCTGAATCTTGGCAATCTCCTAAATGACTTTGTTCTAATCAACTTGCGCTTGCCAAACATTCTAACTTCTCTATTCTGGTGGACAGTACCTCCATCAAAAAAGCTGCCTTCTGAAGCCAACCCACTTTGACCATCATTTTTAGAATGAACCGTGTCCCCAATCTGCTTTATAGATCTCCATGGATCATCATGAACTCCATCATCTGTATCGCTGCCCCATAAAAGAATAGGCTTTATGACAGGTGAGCAACTGTAGTCTCTCAAATGTGCTGCCAAACTTGTATGTTCCATGTCAAATAATCTTCTCAGAGAAGTGCTTCCTTCTTTCATCAATTCTAACAGACTACTACTTCTGCGTGAAGAAGAAAACGAAGAACACGACGCAGCTGCAGAAGAAAAGGAAGTCGAAGAAGATGAAGAAAAGTACAAAGATTTCTGGTACTCTATAATCCTCCTGATCTTATTCTTCTTAGCTTCTGTATCAATGGTATAAAGGGCTTCCTCATCTTCATCTTCTGTAATCTCCGAAGTCATTATATATTCTATAGGATTGTTGGACTTGTTGGATTAATGGATTGAAAAGAAACAGGTTTTAAAAAGTAGAAGAAGAACAGGGGAACACCACATAGATGAAGGAATTGAGATGGCCATCACTGCCATTACAATATTGCAAAGCCGGCTATGGAAAGTGATTTGTACTTTCGGTTGTTCAAGGAATGTAGAGCTGTCTAGGAAAAGACAAGGGTTGGAATGCATCAGCTAATTCAAGGTTGGACTATTACTTTATAGGTAGTGCATATCCATATTCGATTGATGGGGAACTAGTTCTCTCATTCTCTAATTATAAAGTAATTTTTATTTAATTTTTGGATTTGAAGTATTAAATGGCAACAAAACCCCTTCATGTTGGGGTGAAGGCATGGTCTCTGTTCGAGCCCATGAACGTTTACCAGTCCGTTGCTCTTTTCCTCGCCCTATCATCTGTCATACAACTACTGGGCACAATCTGTTGGGTCCACCAGTTTGGCCCATCGTGAAATTAACACAATGTGTTTTGTGAGCCAATACTTAATTTATCACTTAATTGTGAAAAAATATTCAATACAAAAGATTTTGTATAAAAGTGTTTTTTTTTAATGACATAAATAGCCGCAAGGTAACAATTACCTGGCACAAAGAGTGAGTAAAAAAATTGCTATAAATCATGCTACAATCCCATTAAACTTGGCAATTGTTATATTATTCAAAACATGGGTTTTTAATTTTTTTTTAAAAAAATTCTGCTACAGAATCTTTCAATTTTCAACCAATAAAAAAAGTGCAAGCATCTGAAATTTTTTAGGAAATTGAATCGTTCACTTGTAAAATGACACAACAAGCGTTGAATCAAATTGAAGACCGATCTTTCTGTTGTTTCGATTCAAATTGATGATTATGTGATATTACAGTGATATATGACAATATAATACCTTCATTAATACTTTAATCACTGACAAAAAGTTGTGAAATTATATTTACTGATTCATACACAATGTAAAATGGTATGCATCACATAGGGTGACATCACAAATGTAAAATCCATATATATTGCTTTCAATGAATGTTAGTGTTATATTATAGTATACTATTGTAAAGTGACACTATTGTTAGGTTTGAGAACAACCAGAGCCGTTTAACATTAAAAAATAATATAAAAAATAAATTTCAATATTGAGTTACATTAGAAGCAAAAATATGAACTCAAAACTGATGATGTTATTCAACATCTGATGTCAAAGATCCGTTCGAGACATTTTTGAAAAATGCTTGTAAAATCTCTTAATTCAATTTACTGATTGGAAAATATGAAGATTAGACGGTAATTCAATATAATGATATTTTCACCTGATGAAAAACTCGGTTGTGGTTTAAACGTTGAAACAGAAGATGGCGTAGTTTAGAATTTTAAACGACAAACAATAAAGAAGAAGAAGTAGTTTCAAATTCAAGTATGCTGATCTATTAAAATAAGAAACTCTCAGTATAATAAATCAAACCCAATAAAAAAAAAAAGGGACTGCCAAACTAAATAGCCCAATAAATATGGAAAAGGGTATTTTAATGAAGAAAAATTTTGAAAATCTGTTAATGGTACCTAATTACAATACATTTCAAGTTAAAAGTACTTATCTTCAAAAAAGTTTAGTTAGGATATTTTCTCATGATCAAGTGGTTTACAAGGTATCTCCTCACAATTTTTCCATTACCATATGCCTGCTTCACATGTTAATGTTTGCATTTTGCTAAAAGGACCAATTAAATACCTGCAATAAATTATTTATAGAGGTTTTTTACGTTATCTCAAGTAATAATAGTGACGAACTATAATTCAAATATACTAAGTTCAAATCTTGACAATTTTTGGAATTAGGCCATGAGGAATTAAATACTTTAGTTCTCGTATAGATAACATGTCTTAGACTAGATCGGGGAGGTGATTAATCGAAATAGCAAATACTCTTGACCGTCAAACTAAAAAAAAAAAATTGCGTTAAGTTAGCATAGTATTAAGAGGTGAGATTACTATCAGTTTATTTAATATACCTTTCGCATATTTCTGGCATATCATTCGCGTATCTATCTAACATTACAAATTTACAAGTAACACGTTGATTTGCACGTTTATAATAGCGAAATTTTGTCATGGTGGACAACTACCATCGTGAATATTTGTCGATTGTAAAAAGTGTTAATTAATGGTGGGCAATTGTGTTGGAACGTTTTTTATTATTTAATTAAAATATTCATATTGGTCTTACATGTGTGGTATTTTAATCATAAATTAATAATTGCCTAACTAACAGTATTAGTTATATTGGGATGTGGTTTCCCTAAATATAAGGAGTTGAAGTCTTTCATTCTCCTAGGACTTTTTTGATGGACAGATGGTTGGGGATAAAGTCCTACATATATGTGGTGACCATCGCTCTCTCAATGCACTTAACACTTTAGGGTCCGTTTGGTTATAAGAAAAAGATAATGAAAGTGAAAGAGGTAGAAAGTGAAGTGAAAGAAAAGAAAGTGAAAGAAAATATATTTTCATGCACGTATTTGGTTAGCATGAAAAATTTCAAAGAAAATTGTAAAACAATTTCATTCCATTGTTTGAAAAAAAAGAAAGTTATGAGAAAAATTTTCTAATTGTCTAAATTATCTTCAAGTATTTTAACTCGGTCTAAAGAAGAAAAATATATTTTTTATTATTCAAATTTTAAAAAAATTGGCTCCTAACCTAATTCAGGAACAAAGATCGACTTGAACCTTAATCTTTAAACCAAATTTTATGATTAGTCTAATTTGTACACATTTTTTTTAAATTAATAACTAATTGAATATTTTAAGAAAAATAAGGATAAAATGGGAAGTTAAGTTATTGAATACAACTTTCTTGTTTTTTCTTGTATTTTTTGCAAGAAAAAAAAGTTAGTTAGATGTGAGAAAATATAAACATGAGAGAAAATTATTTTTTCTATCATTTTTTATTTCATACTAAACAAACTCATGTAAAATTTTAAAATTTTCTCTTTCTTGTATTTTCTAGCAATTTCTTGCTAAACAAAGGGTCGCTACCATGAATTATAATCTAAAGATTTGTCGATTACTTTATTTAATTATAATGATTATTAGATTTGATTATGAAATACTCTAAATCCATATTTATTGGAGTTTGTTAAAATCCAACAAGTTGTATCAGAGCAAGTTTGAATATTTTATTAATTAAATCTTTGACGATTAATATGATAATCGGTGTTGCCACAAGTTGGATCAACCACAATTTCTTTTTGTTTTTGTTTACTGATTCATGATGTTAATTGTCGCCCATAAATAGAGTACTTGTTGCTATTATTTTGGTGTCACTGATGACACATTTCCTACAAGCTGTTGGGTCGTTGCTGCCATACGATAGCTGTGTTATGTAAGATGAATAGTTAATCCTCGTTCTTGAAGACACTTGTGTAATACAAAAAAATTGTCATTAGAATAAATACTATTTAAAAATACTCTTCTGTAGAGGAAGAGGTGTGTATTTATATAAAGTGACAATAATGAATATGATTATAAACTACAACATTTGTTTTGGAACTCAGAACTCAAACAACAAATTGAAATGTATATGTAGCAATAGTCATCTTATCTCACCATAGGTGACCACTTAGAAGGATTTTAACCACATACCAACAACAGTTATGCTACTTCAAAAAATGGCATACAATATGCTTGAATCACACAACTAATCCATGCAAACCTACTTCCCTCTAAGGATAGTATAAAATTTGCTCAAATCATTTCAACAAATCCAGGCAAACTCGCACTACTCCTGTTTGACCAATTAATTGATACTAGATCAAATCAAAACAATCAATAAATAAAGCAAGCAATTTCCTAGCAAACCCCAATGAATAAAAAAAGTACAAAGCTAAAGGGAATTCTAATTATTATGCAGTGCTAATGAGTATGAAAACATTTTTTTTTTAACTGAGAGCATGAAAACAAATTTCAAACAACTAAAGTGCATCAAAACTCACAATATAAAAACAGATAAAAAAAAAACCCAGGGATCATGAGAGAGAGAGAGAGAGAGAGAGAGAGAGAGAGAGAGAGAGAGAGAGAGACTCACCTCAAATCTTTGAAATAAATCCCCATGACTTTGCATTTAGTTAAACCATTGCAGTAAAACCCACCAATCATTGCACAAAAACTTGCAACAAAACCCTTTGAGAAATGCAATGCGAATGAGCATAGACATGCAATTAAAAGAAACTAAAGTGAAGCAAACAGACCCACAAAATAACAGAGACAAAATATTCCTATAGATTGTAAGAGAAAAGAAGAGGAGTGGGAGGCTCACCTTGAATCGATTTGGCACTTCAATGCCAAAGGAAACACAATTTTTCAAGCTGTAAGAAAGATTTGAATCCATCTTTACACTTATAGTATACATGTAATTCTCAGCACAATGCTTTCATTTGCCAACATTTAGGTTAAAGTTAATGGATGCAAAACTGTGCTATTGAACATTGGAACTCGGTTTTTTGCCCAATGCTAACGCAAAAAAATCCTTCACGTCAAAAAAATCAAAAGCCACTAAGATGAGTAAGCAAAGTATAGGCATCACATTAAAAAAAAAAAAAGAGTAGACATGTCAAATGTACCCAACTCAAGTTTCAAAAGAAAATGACAGCACCAAAAACTACTTAACTTTTTGTTTAACGAACCTCTCAATTTCCAAAATACCAACCAACAACGAAGTTGGCAGAAAATACATATAACAACCATTAAATCCAAACCTCATGAACCTCCTATGATCATTTGGCAATCCCCACAGATGGCATGACATGCTTGAAGCTTCAAGAGGCACTATTCCAACTAAAGTAGAAGCCTACTCAAAATTGCATATCAAAACAAAACAAATTTTACCCATAATCAAACTTTAAAATATAAAAGAACATAGATAAAACCCCAATAGAAAAACATCAAGGGAAACTCTTCGATGACACCATGATACAAACCTCCCTACTTATGCAACCTACTTGACTCCAAGCAGAGAAATGCACTCACAGCCTTGACCCTCCATAGGCAACAAACAAAAACATCCTATACTGTTAGATATGGAGACTGTA